AATATAAAATTAGGGCTGATAATAACCGTACAGTATTTATTATACAGTATTGTGCTGTATTTAATATATTTATTGGTTTGTGTTATGGATTACTTAAATCTTCTATCTCTATAGGTACATAAAAATCAATTGATGTCCGTTAGTCTCGCAGAAACTCTTAAATGGCTATTAGTCCGCTACACTGGCAGAAACCACATGTCTTCTAATTTTTTTTGGCAGACATTATTGAGGTTGCCCGACGATGTTATCCTTCACCGCCGAGGTGTCGAGCTTGCTTGCGGTAACAGAGTTGCTCTGTTACCGTTACAGCCTATTAAAGTCTAGTGCTGAATATGGGCCTCCTGCATAGATTGCCTCATAATTTCCCATAGCTGCCACGATTGGCAAGCGGAAGACGGGAAGGATCTCCTGATTTGTTTTACTTCGTCGCCTCTTACGATACTCACGGGATGATATGGAATAGTGGATATTCTTACCCGCCACTACACGGTAACCGAGTTGCTCATGTTCGACCCATTGCAAAAATAGTACGTAAAAATACAACTTCTTGAGTAGGACAAAATGTCTCTAAAGTTATATAATCTAACATGCTGATGTGCAAAAGTTATTAAGTATATGGTGATTGTAGCACTTTTTACTTTTGCAGAATGCGAACTAAATATTTATGTAATTATATTTTGATATAACTCTGCGTGAAATTAAATACTATATCTCTTTAATTAATAGTTGGCTATGAGATGATTAATTGTAAAATAAAATTTTGAATAATGTTAATGATTGAACATTGCATTTATTTGTTTATTATCGTAGCATGCATCCTACTTCTGGTGCACTTAAAAGTTCAAACAATAATTAAATAGTTATTATGTAAAGATTTTAAGAAGGCAACGGAGGCCAGGGTCTGCGTAGTGTTTTCGAGAGTCATTAGGAATTGTTTCGCACGCAGACTTAATGACTTCCAACTCGACGTACAAGTTGGTTTCCAAAAAGGCTTTAGTACCTTTGACCACATACATATTCTTTAGCAAAATGTGCAGAAGATAGAAAGTACAATCTGCTATTATGTCTCGCGTTTATTGCCTACGAGAAAGCTTTTGATTTAGTTGTAATTGGGCAGTGCTATTCTTCCTGCGGTGGCAAATCGGTCGTTGTTATATCGAATAGCTGAGTGTTTTTACAGTAAAGCTGTTATTTTATATTTCATCATTTTTTTCATACGAATTTGAACAATGTTTTGGGGGCAAGAGCCTTCACCCTCTTACGGAGGTTATTTTGAAAAATTGCAAAATACGTTTTCATTTATTTTGTTTACAGAGTACTTGCAGTAATTTTTTTCAAATAAAAATGAAAAGTTTGAAACAAACTAATACCCAATTTCATCCTCTTAAGGGTCCAATTTTCCAAAATCCTCTTAATGAATACCTACGTCATAAAAGGTAGATACTGTCCAAATTTCAGATTAAGGCTTTAACTAGCCTGAATGACATTGATGAAACGGCGATCGCAGAGATTTTAGCCGACGTCAACACCGTCTAGCAACTACATTCTGTGTTACTTATAAAAGTGCAAATATTAATAGACTGCAGAGATGACTATTATATAAGTGACATACTGCCTGTTATGCTTGCGCATCACTGGGAATTATGTCGCGGTTACGCATCCTCAATTACATTGTACTGTAGCTTTGTCCAGTAGGCGTCACGAGCTATCAAGTGTTCAAGTTTCAAGTAGGTAAGGGTTTTTTGTTATATATGTTAAATCGTATGTATTTGTGTCGTATTAGTATATCTGGGTCAAAGCGTTCGTTGTAAATTTTTCCAGGGTTTGAACCCCGACAGCACGAGTGAAATTTGTAATTGCAATTTTCGTCAACACGCATTGGGGCAGCGCGGCGGGAATTTCCTTGCCCTAAAACCCTCTCAGAAATAAAAAAAAGAGTCCTGTGCCCAGTAGAGGGACTTGTATAGTCTATTACTTTACTTTGTAGCAATATTCATATTCGTTTCAGATACAGAAGGGTACCTTATGCTGACAAAAATATTATGTGGAGGCGACGAAAACGTAAAACATCTTTGTATCTATATAAAACGTTCGAGAGATTGTCAGTCATGTTATACGCCACTTTTTCTAGAGAGCGTAGAACATTGCAGATAGGGCAAAATAAAAAATAATACAAAATATTATGGGAACTATTTATTAATAATATATACATTTATAGGTATTTATAGTAAAAATAATGAACAAGCTGCAAGGTTCAGCTTATTAGCTGTTTCTTGTAAACACAATTGTAAAATTCCTGTTTTAATTTTTACCAATGGTTAATTGATGAAACGTAGTCAAGATCATTTCATATAAAATATATTTAATTAAAATTGACACATGACCTATTTGGCCTTCTACTTACAACTCGGTGGAAATTTGAAAAGAAGATTTTGTCTTTTCACACAAGTATTGTTTACAACTGGCGTGGTTTCGAAAAGAGTGATTAAGTGTCAGCGGT